CCCCAAAACCCCAAAACCCCAAAACCCCAAGCAACTTCTCACTTATTGAAATACCCAAAAAATTTCTGAAATTTCCATACAAAATTTCGAAATTTCCATACAAAATTTCATTCAAACTTATCGAATTTCAATTATCCAAAAAAATCCTGATTCAAAATCACAATCTAAATATCATTCTATTAATCTAAATCCTCATATCTATTCTCTAAACCTTGAAATGAGTCTTTTCAGTATGTCTTGATTTACTCAAGACTGATAACATTTTCTGCTTTAAAGAATGATATAAACTTAAAGAACACACGAAGAAATTTGTTCAGATGAGTATAAAACAGTTGAAAAATCTCAAAGTCACAAAAAATTAGGTAAAACCCCTTTTAATCAATTCCACTACAAATTAAAGAAGTTATTGTTCATCTTCACTTTATTGAGCTGCAATACAGAAGATGAGTTCCGTTCATCCTCAGAGATCTCAGGAATTTTACGTCAGCTCTGAGATTTATGCCCAGGCTCCAACTTGGGCTTAACTTTGGGTAAGATATCTTCCTTGACTTCTTCTTTGATTTCTTCCTTAATTCGCTCTTTCTCCTCTTCAAATTTTCGGTCGTCATAATGTTGGTTTATATCTTGTTGACTGCTAAGATTTTCATTGCTATTCACTGACTGGTCTAGTCGATATCTCTCTTCATTGACTACCTCATTAATCTCGTTCATGGGAGGTTTGTTCATACTTGAGCGAATGAGAGGCTTACACTTATACTTAAGCTTGGAATTTGATGTGAAGTCTAAATATATCAGCAGCTAGTCATACCTCTGAGACCAATCTTTCCAATAATATTATGGTGCTTTCTCTTAACATGACTTGTGTTGATATGGGAAGCTTCATGCTTTTCTTCCTCCTCTTCTTCATCTTCGTCTAGCCGTCGAGGGACACTTTCAAGCAGCTCTGTGTTCTCCCTCCGACTTGGGTGCGGAATCTGGTATTGCTCTGGGTCTACTAAGACCCCTCTGGGTTGCATCTGCATGTTGGATGGTAAAGTATCAGTTTCATTAGCATTGGGAGACATTCCAAAACCTCTCTGTGTGAGCGAAATCCTTTCATCAGTCATGAAATTATTCGTTTTCTTCGTCAGAGTAAACCCTGGATCCACAGAAGTTTTCAAATCAGTAGATGCTCCGATGGATTCCTTAAACATCCGAGTGCTTTCTACCCCTTTACTTCGAAACAGAGAGTCATTACCTTCTTTCAGCTCTTCAAAGAGGCCATTTTTCACTACAGAGGAAAGAACATTCTGAGTCTCAACTTTAATAAGGTCTTGGTCGCCTAAAGTTGAGGTTAGTAGTTTACCTTCTGAATCAGCATAGACCTTCCTGCTTTTATTGTTCTTCTTCATTTTCCTCTGATGGAGTTCGTTCAGCTCCTCATGACCGTCGCGGTCCTGGAAGGTCTTTATAGACTTCTTGTTAATCACACCCATCTTAATTCCGAGCATATATGGGTACTTGTGAATATGATCATCAAAAACCTGCTCGTTCATACCCACGATTCTTTCAAATTTATTCCTCCCACAAACTTGTGGTTTCTGCATCTCAGGAGAGACAGACAATAAGTATCTCCCAAGCTGCATTGAGACTGAGAAATCCTTTTTATATGGAACTTCGATAGGCTTCTGAACAAGAGCGAGCGTTCCAAATTTAGCTTGGTTATCCATGACATAAAAATCTCCATTGAAGTAATTCACATACGCATGGGCCCTCGAAACACTGATATCGGTAATTCTGATGTCTACGATATTTTCTCGTCCTACTAAGAAAGAGAATGCTGACTTCCGTTTCAAATGATGTTTAGAAATTGACACTACATGAATTGTCTTATGTGGAGTATTAGTGAATGACTCCATTATCAAATATGCACCATCTGTTGGTCGGAGATAGTTAAGTATATTATACTGCTGCCCATTGTGCCAGTGTGTATCTTTAAACCTAGTCTTACACAACTCGCATTCAAGGTTCTTCCAGTTATAGGAATGGATAAAATCGCTGTTTTTCTTGTGTATCTTTCCTTCAAGCCATGTCCGTATACACCCAAGGTGAATGTACTTCATCGATCCTGCGCATGTACAAATAGAGAAGAGAGGGTTCTCCTCTTCATCTTCTGTCATTTCGTCCTCGCCTCAAAGTCAAACTCTGCACATCCTCTCACAAGTAGATGAGGTCTTATCCAAATCAATATGCTTCTTTGCTTCAAAAGAGAGTTCAGAATTACACTTTTGGAAGAAGTCATTTACCTGTTTATTTCATCTCGCTTAACGCAGATGAACCAAAAGAGTGTTTAGAGTTCATGCTCTGGTCAATATCTCCGTCCTTCTCAGTCATGTGTATTGATTCAGAAGGGATATTTTGTTCCATCTTTTCCATATTTCCAGAAGAACTTATCTTCTTCACTCTGAATCTTACTCTTCCGAATTTCAAAATATCGCCTAGAAGGAATAAGAACGTACTTACCTTGTTTGATCTTGTAGCCAAAATATTTGCTATACTTTTCTTTATTATTAACACTAGTAGCTGTGCTAACAGGCATCCATAGCTGTTCTGAAGGAGTCTTTAGCACATCTTCTACTGCTAAGTCCTTGCCATGATAGAGCCAATATCGGCCCTTCTTATACGCAATTGATAATATTTTTGTATATTTCTCTTCCACAACTTCATCTGGAATTGTTACTTGATACTCAATTTCTCGGCTAGTATTCCGATACAAAAATCAATTTCCAGTACAAATAATAGGGATTTCTCTTCGATACAGGTCACAGGTACCACCGCAGAGTCAATTCGTGCAATAAACCCTCGAATTGCTCTTACCTACACTTTTTCCTCCCTTCGGGTATCCCTCAATGGCTAAGTGATTAACCTCTTTATAATAATAATCATACAACCCATGCGAGTCCTTGCTCCAAACTCTGACGTTCAGCCGGAGGCTGTAGAACGGACGATCAGAACCTAGTAACTCCTTTGGGATTGAATTCCAGCAGCCCATGATTTTACAGTTCAATTATATATATTTAAATGGGGTTTTGGGGTTTTGGGGTTTTGGGGTTTTGGGGTTTTGGGG